AAGAATACCAAAAAACTCTGGAAAAAGAATTACGAGTTATCGAAAAATTAGTTTACGTTGATTATTTTTTGTTGTTTAGCGAAGTAGCCGCCTTTTTACGGGGTCAAGATATTATTATTGGCCCCGGCCGTGGCAGTAGTGTTTCCTCACTGGTGGCTTATTTGCTAGAAATAACTAGCCTTGACCCCTTGCAACATAAACTATTTTTCGAAAGATTTTTAAACGAACAAAGAAAAACTTTGCCAGATATCGATATGGATGTTGAAAATCAAGAAGAAGTGTTTAATTATTTACGGAAAAAATATTCTTCTTACCAAGTAGCCCGTATTATGGTCCGCAAAAAAATTGGTTGAAAAACTGCAGCTCTGGAAAGTGCGAAAGTTTGTCCGGTTAGGGAAACAGAATTAAAAAAAATCCTTCTTTTGCTGAGCAAAACCTATGGTTTGCAGGATGCCAAGTTAAACCCTTGAAAAGTTCGTTATCCCCAATTTTTTGCCTTGGTGGAGAAGATTTATAATTTGTATTACGATACTAGTCTGCATCCAGCCGGAGTGATTATTAATGAACGCTCCTTAGCGGGTTCAATTCCCGTCAAGTTGGAGTCCGATTTTCTGGTGAGCCTCTTTGAAGAAGAACAATTAGCCCAGTTAGGTTTCAAAAAATACGATTTTCTTAGTCTGAAAGAAACCCTGGGTTTTGTTACCCTGATTAAAAACTTAACTTCGCACCAGCATTTACCCGCCAAGTTGCCGACTTATCAAGAAGTCGACTTGGCGGACCCCAAAACTTGGGAACTGTTAAATAATTTGTGCTTGACCGGTATTTTCCAACTTGATACCCCGGCAGCACGCAGTTTATTTCTACGCTTTCGTCCCCAAAATTTTGCGGAGCTAGTGCTCTTTTTGGCTTTAAACCGCCCGGGAGCTAGAAGAAGGGCCGAAGAAATTATTTCGCAAAAAAACCAGCCGGGAAAATCTCCTTTTGTTTCTCCAGCTTTACAAAAAATCCTAGCCGAAACTTTTGGCTTGATTATTTTCGAAGAACAAATTAGCCAAATTCTCGCTTTGGTGGCTGATTGTTCTTTTGCGACTGCTGATTTGCAACGACGAGAAATTGCAGTCAAAGGGTTAGATAAAAACTTCCTTGCCCAACTACAAAAAAAATTTTCTCGCACCGACAGCCATCTAATTTACCAACAACTTACCTCAGCCCAGGGCTACACTTTTAATAAGGCCCATGCCGTAGCTTATGGTTATTTGACTTATTATATTGCTTACCTAAAAGCCAATTTTTTTTCCTCGTTCATTCTTTACTTTTTGAACGAGAGGAAGGAAAAAAGTTTGGCTTGCCTCCAAGAGGCTTTTTTCTGCGGTTTTTCTCTCCGCGGACCTGATATTAATTACTCCCAAGTGGCTTGAAGCCAAAAAAAGCAAAGTTTAATTATGGGATTTAGCAGCCTGAAAAAATATCAGGCTAATTTTTTTGCGGGGCTTTTAGAAGAAAGAAACAAAAACGGTCTTTACCGGAATTGGGAAGAATTTTTGTCCCGCACGAGCGAATGGTGAAAAAATGTTGAAATTACCAGTTTTGTTGATTGAATTAAAAGCGGCTTATTTAATAGTCTGGGAGTAGATATTGCTACTTTGGAACAAAATAGTCAGGCTATTTTCCGTTATCTCCAAATTCGACAAAAAATTCCGACGGTCAATAACAACGATTTACCATTTTTATATTTGCCAACTGTCGACCAGATTCAAGAAAGCACGA